TTAGCCTGCCCGCACTACACGCCTGTAGTGCAAAGTAGCCTAGTACACAGGCGTTTTGGCCTTTTTTTGCCTTTTCTATTGAACGCGTCACCGCTACCCCGCAGACATTACTGATTCTGAAAGGTCTCAGTGTGCCCTCGGTTTTCATGTAATACAAGGTTAGGGCTACGTCGGCATTATTTTCTGTAAATGGCGAGTGACGTTGGGCGCACGTTTAGGCCCCTGGATATGCCGCGTGTGCCGGGAGCTCGGATCCTCTATATCTGATACAAAGTAGGACCTATGGGGTAACTTTTTCAGCCCGAGTCGTTCGCCCTGGCCCCACCTTGCGCGCAGTGCAGCGCCTACAAGATGGTCTACCTGTTTGGCGCCAACTTTGGGCCAAAACAATAATCGCAATGCGATCCGGGTAAACGTTGTCGCACAGGGCCCGGACTTTGCACACGGTCATTTTTAGGTCAAAACTACCATTTAGGCTCCGTACCTCGAAAAATTTTTTGGGGTGGGATGGGCTAACCAGAAGGGCTGTGTGGAGGCTCATCCGGGCCCTCGCGAGGCCTCTGTTTTGACCCACCAGTGAGTGCCACACCGCTGTCATAGGGGCGCCTTCATGGTGTCTGACCTGCAGCTGCAGTGAGGCAGACGAGTGGTCTCGGGATGGCTAATCATGTGTCTAAATCTGAGGCTTCTCTAGACACTCTGCAGTCAACCGCGATGTCTCGATCGAGTGTCGAACAGTGTCTGATCCGTATCTAAACCTTGTCTACAACGTGTCTCCGCGATGTCTTAGTTCAAAGACATCCAGTAGACACGCTCAAGCATTTTTTTTGTAAGGGCATTCAGGTGGGGAATTTAGTTTAACAAAGTTTGAAAGAATTATTGCATGTAAGTTCTTTCTGCTCTAATTTTCGGGCGAGTTTTTTGAAGAGAGTTCAGACCTCATATCCGACTGATACAAGGTGCAAAATTTTACTAACATGTCTTTGGAGTAAGCGGGACACCTCATTCATTCCATCCTCGTGCACTCGCTACGTGTATACAGGTAGTTGATATCGTTGATACTGACTCATAAAAGCACTTAACAACATATTTGGTATCAAAAATAGTTTTATTCGTTTACTGTGAGGAGGCGCATCTGTTCACTTTACTTCAACCCTAGACAGTAGGGTAGCTGGCCATGGTGGCGATACCACAGTTGTTGCTTCTGTTGCGTGCCATCCTGATGTAACCCTGCTCACCCCAGGAGGTGCCCCACGAGTTCTTGACTATCCAGTAAGCCTTGTTAGGGTAGTCGGTTCCATAGCCGACGGCGAGCACGCCATGGTCGAGGCTTCTGGAGGAGCAGCTGGACTCGTAGTAGACACCTGCAAAGAAACATTAGTAATTATCAGTACTACTACGCTTCTGTCGGTTCATAAGAATATAACTCGTGAAAATCTCCTAAATTCAACGCCATTTCTACATATTCACTCTTGATAGATTTGTTCTTCTCGGACACATACGGAAAAGAATTAGTTTTTAGCCCGCCCTTCTGCTTTGAAAAGGCTATCAGCGGGCTTATGCAAACGACCTCGTGCCTGTCTGTCTGTTCCACTAAAAGGAGATGTGCTAGAGACTTGAAATTTTCAGGTTATCTTAAGGTTCACTCCTAGAGAACGAAACGCCTACGGCAAATCCTAGCAACCACCCCTAAGGGCGTGGGGCGGGGGTATGTATCAAAGAAAATGAGGTAGGTCAAAAAAGTCAGAAAACAATATTTTTTGTTTTGTCTTCTAAGGGGTACCTCGTCAAAGTAGAGCCCTGTGGGCGAAAATTTGGCTCTATCTCTTTGACGAAAATAAGCTAAAAATTGCTGAAGTGAAAAATAAGTTGTAGAAGAAGGCCTCAAAACCGCAAAATAGGAAAGAAACTCCCCCCCCCCCCCACCCTAAGGTGTAATGTAGATAGGTGGTCGCAATCGCTCTCATTGGTGTATCTGACATGCGCAGAACAGACTGCGCATCTCCGTGTCAACCACTGTCAGGCCAGCGCGCGCACCGCCGGGTACTCAAAAGGGATTAAGGAGCCAGGAAACACCCGGCACCGCCCCTCGTGAGGCTCGAGGCTCGACCCTAGCCCAGCCGCCCGGCCTAAAGCCAACCCTCGCTACCTGCTAATACCTGGTCCAGCGTGCACCCAGCACGTTTCAAACCGATCGGCGGAGTGGCGCGAAGGATCTACCTGTCCCCACTCTCGCCCGCTTGCGACCACCTATCTACATTACATCTTACCCCACCCCACCCCAAAAAACGCTTCCTAAGCAGAAGGGTAGGTTGTAGTCGCGGTGCTTCACCGTTACATCCCTTTCTCGTGTCTACGGAGCAAATTCTAAGGACGTCGGTTTTCAGCAGGCCGAGGACCCGTTACATCATTTCATTATGTTCTTCAGCAAATCGCGTTACGAGCGTTGAAGACCACAGCTTTCCGTCTGTCTTGCACCCATTACACGGGCGAGATTGGCTTGGAGCCCCGCGCGGACAGCCCCAGTACCTGGCGCGGCGCTTTTCGGACTGTTCTGCCCCGGGCGCAGCCGCCCCCGGCCTCCTCGCTTACGCACCGTCCCCCGCTGTTAATCGCCTCCTAATCCATATGCCAGGTAGGCGCGGCGGTTTCCGACTCCCCTTAGCAGGCCCGGCCCCTGCCGAATGGAGTTGCCTGCGGAGCAAAGTGAAGCTGGCAACTTCGTTTGGCTCTATCTCTAATCGTATAGGCGCTGCAGGGTCTTTTTAGACGAAAATAAGGTAAACATTGCTGTAGTGAACAAAAAGTTGTAGAAAAGGGCCTAAAAACTGCAAAATAGAAAGACCCCCCCCACCCCCAAAAAACCCGAAAAACAACGTTTTCTAAGCAGAAGGGTGGGTTGTAGTCGCGTTGCTTCACCGTTACATTCCTTTCTAGTGTTTACGGGGCAAATTTTGAAGGCGACGGGTCTTAGCGGGCCGAAGGCACGTTACATCATTTGATAATGTTCTTCCGCAAATCGCGTGACGGAAATGGTCGGACCGCACGCTCAACCATCGCCGCCGGCAGGCCAAGCAGGCCCGGCCCTGCCGAACGGAGTTGCTGGCGGTGCGAAGCGGAGCTGGCAAATCCGTTTAATGGAAGGGCGGGCCTGCTTGTTTTAAAATCCCTGGAATGCATAATGCACTACAAGTGGACTCTCGCTAAATGTCGCCGCCACAGATAGTGAGGGTACTGTGCGTTTGCTGCTGTCGTGTTCTACTCTCCCTACTCCTCCTCCGGCAGGCGAGGCGGGTCCGGCAGTCAGTCCACATGGAACGTACTATTTTTCCATCGCTATCTCTTTCGCTCGCTACAGTTAGCGAGGAGACAGTTAGCGAGAGCCCACTGCACTAAAATATTAAAGACGAATTTAATTTTTTTAGTTAAATATGTAGTTCTGATACAATTGTATACGAGTCAACTTATTCTTCTGGTACTCATTACACTTAAGAAAGGTCATGGTGACACCCTCACCCCTCACCCTTTTTCTTTTTTCAAGTCTAGGGATACGGACTTTCAGTGATCGGAAAGTAGCACAATCTTCCAAATCACCTTAAAATGAAAACTCACGCTGTGAAACTAGCGGTTCACTTAGTACACTACAGAACGGAGTGCTCTTGCATAGCACACGCGCGGAAGAGTGCACCCTTTACAGAAAATAGACGTCTAAAGATTTTGATAGATCGTCTAATGCGCGTCTAGCTAGTCTAAGTTTTTAGACGATTAGACGTAGATGACTAAAATAGGTCTAATAGGAATCTTTTGACATTTACAAGTAGGTTTCGTCGAGGAACAGACGACCCGAGATGATCTATTTCTTGTCTAACCTGTCTATGTACTTTGACGTCTAGCGCTAGACAAAGTGAAGACTTGTCGAGATGATCCAACTCTAATCCGTCTCATCCCCATGGGAACAGAATGGGCTATCTACGTGGACTCAACGTGTACTACGTGGATACATACACGTAGATCTATCCCTTTAGCCTCAAGGTGGATTCAACGTTGAAGTCGAGTGGACTGAACCATGGAGATTATTCACCGTGCAGTCTACGTCGATTTGTTACTTGCCAATCCCTCTCGATGATTATACATCTGATCCACGTAGACGTAAACTAGACGGTTTTTAGCGATGCGAAATATGTCGTTTCCACGTAGATGTATCGTTCTTTTGTCAATGTCTATTCGTCTACGAGATATGTACATAGATCAACGTATGATGTGACCTACATTGATGCGTCAACTTCACATCTCTTCGTCATTTTTGTTGATCTAGGAATGTGGGCGAAGAGAGGCTCTGTCGACATCGACGCAACGTTCACTAATCATTATGGTCTTGTACATCTCTCATCAATATATACGTTTTCGAACATGGTCCTTTCGCATAGCATTCACATAATGTTCTCATCAGGTTTGAAGGTGATGATGTCCGATAACTTGGTTCCTACTTTGGTTCAGACATTTTGCATTTTGCAATCGTAGAATCCATGTGGATGCAACGTGGTTGAGATAGACAGATCGTTCTGGATAGAGGTAGGTTTCAGTCGGCTTCCTCGCTAAGTTGTCACGGTGGCGTCGTGGTTAGAGGCGTCAACTACGGAGCAGCAGGTCCCAGGTTCAACTCCCGGTAAGGTATCAGTCGAGTTTTCATTAGAAGTTGTTGTAATGAAGTATTCAGAGGGTCTCCTCTAACTAAAGAAGTAAAACCAAATTAAATCCATAAAAAAGTAAATAAAATTTTAACTGGTGCCATACTACTAAAATTATTTTTGCTGTTACGGGGATGCCAGGATCATTCTACGTCGAAACAGCGTGTAGGGGCGGACTGATCAATGTTGGTTCTACGTGAAATCTACTACCGTTTGGCACTGGATGATCGATTCGATCATCCACGTCGTGTCGAGGTGGTTCGACCACGTCCCAGCTATGTGGATTCGATATGGGTGTTCCCATGCATGTTCCCATGCATCTACAACCTTAAACGTCTAGCGATAGACAACGTTTAGATTAGACGTGCCGAGACGATCTAACTCCAATCTAACCAATCTATGACCTTAGACGTTCATGCTTTAGGATTTTTAACGTAGCAGGGTATGAATTTTTTGATCACCTTGAGATAATTGGAACTCAAGCGCTCGCTTGTAAAAAAAAAAAGACCTGCAGACTTTAAACGTAATATCAACGGTAGGCGGTAGGTCTCTTGGCCACCTAAATCAGAGGGAAAGAGTCCCGAGTCTGGTAAAACGAATGCTCCCGGAACCAGACTAACGTCACGTAGGAGGCAGCTCGTGGCGTAGTGGTAAGCGTCGAGGGTTACCAATCCGCAGTTCCGGAACCGGGCAAGGTAAGGTAAAATAGTAAGAAGTAATCAATTCAATGAGTTACAACCGAGATAACGATCTACCAAAGAGAAAGAAGAAAAGAGCCAGAGAAAGAAGAACAGAATCATTTTTGAAATTAAAGGTTGCATTATAAAAATCTTGTAAATATCTAGATGTCATCTAAAAGGCATCTGTATATAGACGTCTACTGATAGACGTCTAATAGATGCCTCCACAGAGAGAATCAAGAAAGTCTAATAGACGTCTACCGAGGGCTTATATTAGACAACTTGCCGTCTAGCAATAGACGTCTATTTTCTCTTAGGGAGACATTTAAGTTTGCCCGAGGGGTATTCGACTATTTTAATCAGGTGTACACAGACCGACACGTTTGACTGAAAGGCACGTACTCTGGAAACTCGGGTGTGAGACAGTCTAACACCAAATGGTGTTAGGCAAAATACCTCACACCAAATGGCGTGAGACTAGTTGTGCCTCACACCAAATGGTGTGAGACCCTCTGTGTCTCACACCATTTGGTATGAGAAAGTATCACTCCATTTGGTGTGAGGCACAACGAGTCTCACACCATTTGGTGTGAGGTATGTTTGCCTCACACCGTTTGGTGTGAGGTATTTTGCCTAACACCATTTGGTGTTAGACTGTCTCACACCTGAGTTTCCAGAGTAGTTCAGCCGCACGATCCGAAAGTCACGCAGTTCAGCTGCGCGCTCCGGAAGACAAGCAGTTTACTGCAGGGCACCGTAACTTATAATAACAGGAACGAATGTTAGTTACTCAACGTAACAGAACACATGTCAATTAAAAAAGTGAAAGTTTTCGATTTTGAAATTTGTCCGATATTAACCGTACATACTGTGGGTAACAGCTAGGCAAGTCGAATAACTAACTTGTTTCCAAAAGGACTAGAGTAAAATTTATAGGTTTTAATTTCAACTCTTAAAATAACGTGAAAAGCAGCTAAGTAATAAGTCATGGACCCCTGGTTGGCCGCTCTAAAAAGAGGAACTGCGTGAGTCTTGGATTGAGCGGCTGAACTCCGTGTCCAAATTGCTTCAACCAAACACTTGTCGGCATAGTTTTGGTTACTTTAGCCAAAGCTTTTGCCCGCGGTGACCAAACTTTTTCCTCATTGTCATATCTTTCAAACTTCGAAACATTTGTATTGGGCAAACATGGGACGGGGGCCATGGACACTTACCGCTGGAATACATCTGGAAGCTCCAGTTGCTGGCGTCGATGGCCACAGAGACGGGGCCAATCTTCTCGACGGCGTCAAGGAGGTCGGCTTCGGTGGCGCGGACGTCGGTGTAGCCGGTGTTGGCGCCGGCGTTGTTGGCGGTGGTGTACTTGCACTTTCTGCTGGACTTCGCGGTGTACGGGTAGCTGGACTCGGTGTCGATGCCCTTGTTGGCCTTTACGTACTTGAAGGCGCTGTCCATCAGACCACCGTTGCAGCCCTGGTTGCCGTAGTTCCAGGAACAATCGACCAGGTTCTGCTCGCTCAAAGAGACCAGCTTGCCGTTCTTCTTAAAGAGCTGACCCTCAAGGGCACCAGTCTATAAAACCTCAAAAAATGTCAATGTTCGTCGCCTAAGAGCGCACGCACAGATAAAAATTTCATTTTTTCGATGGCACTTTTGTTCCTTTATCTTGACAACAGTGTCATCGAGGGGTCGCCAACTCGCGTTGTACTCCGTACACGGGACCTAAAATAATTTTATAATACTTCATAATGCCAGATTATATATCATAATATGCCTCAATAAGTGCCAAAACCATAATACTCCGTGCACTGCTAAGATGAGTTAGCAACCCCTCGAGTATCATCTTACGTCAAAACAGAACTTGTCATGTCTGTTTATAAACGGCAAATGTTTGAAACGTTCTTTGTCACAAAATATCGTAAGATTGCCACACGGTAAAAACGAAGTCCCATTTTTTGAGGTAAAAGGGAAAACTTTGAGGGAGTCAGTAACTTTGAGGGATCATTCTTGAAAAATAAGAACGACCCTCAAAGTAAGTCACAAATTTTGAGGAAGTCCCTCAAAGTTAGCGCGGCTGCTGCTGCGCCCACCTTGGTACTTTAGAGCTTTGTAACAACTGATCAAATTGTCAGTTGGTCAAATTTAATGTGTTTCTCTTAGTTTTAGAGCTGTGGAACTCGTCCTGCAAAGTTTGATGTGTGTACGATGAGAAAATACAAAACAGATTTTTTGAATGGTTTACGTGCTTTCAGACGTACTTGCACACGTAAATCATTCAAAAAATCAGTTTCTTTTCTTTTTATTGTACACGCATCAAACTTTGCAGAACGAGTTCCGCAGCTCTAAAACTAAGAGAAACACATTAAATTTGACCAACTTACAATTTGATCAGTTGTTACAAAGCTCTAAAGTAGCGAGGTGGGCGCAGCAGCAACCACGCTAACTTTGAGGGACTTTCTCAAAATTTGTGACTTACTTAGAGGGTCGTTCTTATTTTTCAATAATGATCCCTCAAAGTTACTGACTCCCTCAAAGTTTTCCCTTTTCCCTTAAAAAATGGGACTTCGTTTTTACCGTGCAAAATTTCACTTGCGTCAGCGTCACCCTTGCGACCTCGCTTTAATTGGGGAAAGATACATTTAGCCACTCTTTTTGGAGGAAGCAATTACTCCCGCATTGTCAGTGGTAACTCTATCTTTGGTACAATTAGTTCACGAAATTCTGACAAACGGGAGGTTTTTGGACCCCGAAATCGGACTATCGGTGCAATATACTAGATTCCTCGAAACCAAAACCTTTATCTGCCAGCTATTGTGATGATAGCGATGAACCACTGATAAGGATTCAGCAAGGAATCGATACAAATATACTGTTAAATTCAACAGACCAACGACAAACTCCTGACAGTTTTTTGTTTTTTTTTTTGGTGAAGATGACCGACCCCATACTTTACAACCTCAACAGACAATGGGCAAGTGATTGTCTCCAAATTGTTTGCGTACCGGTGTGTCACAATTTCATGAAGCTGAAGGGGTTTACACGTGATTGCGCCATCTGTGATTTTCTCACACAGAATTGTTTTGTATAACGTCAAAAGAATTTAGAATCTTTGTAATAGGAATTAAATACGTCTGTTTCGAAGGACTTGGCTTTGATATACGAGAAGAGAAGGACATGTCCGTTCACAAACCGGTGCTGTTATAGTTAAATTAAGCAAATTTACAATAAGATGGTTCTAGATCCTGCGTTACAAACTTAACATGAATAGTAATTTTTAAAGGAACCAACTGTGTTAGTTAGGGGCCGTTCACAAATTACATCACGCATCTGAGGGGGGGGGGGGGGGGGGGTCTCTGCCCGCGTGACGGTCCTATCCTGAAAGCATTAGAAGGTTAGGTTAGCCGCGTGACGTGGGGGAGGGGGGGAGTCAAAACCGCCCGAAATTTGCGTGAGGTAATTTGTGAACGGCCTCTACACCAATTTTAGCAGTTAACATGATCACTAATGACTACTCACAGCAGAGAATGACCAGCATGAACCGCAAGAGCCTTGGTTTTTGACAGGGGTGACGTAGCCCTTAGAGCGCCAGTCAACCTTCTGGCTGTCGCCCACAGACGAATTAGAGGCCTTGTGCACGTTCACGCTGGGGGTCTTCAGCTCCATGCGGAAACCGTTCATCTTCTCAGTGACTTCGTGGGTGTGCTGAAAAAAAAATATACAGGGGTGTTAAACAATCTTCGACAATATTCTCACTGTCTTCAAAGCTAAACTACCCTTTCAAACTTTTCTCCGGATGTATTTCACAAGGTCTCAACAATAACGTTTAATAATGTGAACTATATGCCTTAAGTGCGCTTTAACAAATAAATGAAGAAATCTATTCAACAAGAACTGTTTTTTTTTTTTTAGCGAGAAATCTTACTCCCTGCCGTAAAATAAAGATTCGTAGAAACATCCTGTGGTTAAAAATCCCTGCCAGCGAATACCGACCATTGGAACTATGTAACTGCACAAGGCATGTCATTAGCCAGAGGAGTGCTCGACTCTTACTTACCATGTCAGCGTACTGGTTGTAGCCGACCTTGAAAGTCACCTCACCGGTGGCGTATCGGTCATTGTGCTTGGCGATCCTGATGGCGTTCTCCTTGAACACCTTGGCCCTGTAGGCCTCCTCGACGGCGTTGGCGTAAGTCTTGCCGTGCGTTACCTTGAAGCCCTCCCAGTGCATTTTGATCTCAGACTCGGACGGAACGCCGGCCAAAGCGGCCACCACACAGGCGGCGAGGATAATAAAGCTCTTCATGTTGCCTGTTTACCGCAACAGATACGACAGTTACTACAGTTTCCCAACAGTGCTCGGACAAATGCATGCAACCTTCTGATGCGAAATTCCAATATTTTTTCTTGACTTTGTGCGTGCGAATGTATATATATT